TGCTGTCTGTGCTTTTGCTACCAAGGAAAATATCAGTGAAGCATATTTACAGTCCTGTAGGGCACCCTTGCTCAGTGCAGGGTGCTCCAGTACCCCTTAGGGGGGCACCAAGAGTAGATGTGAGCATGTGCTGATCCAGCAGCATCAGACTGAAGTCCTTGTATGGCAGACTTACAAGATCATCTATGATGGCAGCCCTATGTCTGTTCCCTTTGTACTACGTTTTAATCCTTTTGTGCTTGGAACAAGGAAAACTTGCTATCATTTAAATGTAAGCCTATAGCTTATGCAGTAAGGTGTCTATACATTTTTCTTTGAACTGAGTTTTTTTGGTGTTGTTTTCTTCTTTGCACATTTCCAGCACCGCTTTGGTTAGCTAGGCCTTTAAATTTAGCAATCAAGGTTGTGAAAATTATATGCGGTATTTTGCAAATCATGTATTGTGAGAAAATATGCAGTTGCAGGTTTCTTGCTCTGTTGAAGAAATTCTTGTGAGATGTGCACATCTCAACAGGCCTTGTCACACTCTCAGAGGGTCTCAGCATCTGCCTGCTTCTGCATTGCTGCAAGAAGCATTACATTCCTTTCACTGGAGTACTGAACACATTGTGGAAGAACAGGGACAGAAGTGTCCATATCAGCAGAGGGACCAGTGACCAGGTCCAGAGCTAGGACCAGTGTCCCCAGTGACATCTTATTATGGTCACTGGGGATCGAGTCAACGGATTATGCAGGGTCACTCCTCTCATCTTCATGCAGATGACACAAGCAGATAAGTGACTGCAGGCATCACTGCCTGTAATGGGAACACAGGTGCCTATACCATGGACTTTTAAAGTTAGGTGCAATAAAGCCAGCTGTGGCTTCTAGCAAACCTGGGCAGAGCCAATGCAGCAATAGACTTAAGGAGGGGAGAAAAGCATATGGGCTGACCAGCTGGAAAGCATCTTGTCAGCAAAGGACCAGATGGCCCTGTGGACAACAAGTTGACCAGGAGCCAGCAGAGTGCCCTTGTGGCAAAGGCCAACAGCCTGCTGGGCTGCATTATGTAGAGCATTGCCTGCAAGGTCAAGGGAAGCAATCCTTCCCCGCTACTCAGCACTGGTGAGACATAGCTGTAATGGTGGTTCTGGGCTCCCCAGTAAAAGCAAGACATGGACATACTGCAGCAAGTCCAGTGATGGGCCATTAAGATGAGAAATGGACTGGAGCACATGCTGTATGAATCATAGAATCATTAGTTCGGAAAAGACCTCTAAGATCATCAAGTCCAACCATCAACCCACCACCACCTTGCCCACTAAACCATGTCCCGAAGTGCCAAATCTACATGTTTTTTAAGCACCTCCAGGGATGATGACTCCACCAACAGGTGGAGAAGAGAGGCTAAAAGTGTTCCGATATTTTTTTTTTTGGAGGAGGAGCAGGCCAAGGGGGTATCTTGTCAAAGTGTATAAATAGCTAATTGAAGACGGGTGGGGTAAAGAAGACAAACCAGACACTTCTCTGTGGAATCCAGTGGCGGGATGAGACACAATGGGCACAAATTGAAATATGGGAGATTAGAGTGAAAGAAATGGTGGTGAAACACTGGAAGACTTGCCCAGGGAGCCATTGTCTTTGGACAAGGTCAAAAGCCAAGAGGACTTGATCCTGAGCAACCTGCTCTACGTGACTCTGCTTTGAGCAGGGGAGTTGGACAAATGATCTCTGGAGGTGCCTTCCAACCCCAGCCCTTCTGTGATTCTGTGACTAGATGGGACCTGACCTGAGGCCTGGAGAGCTCCAGTGATGAAAGATCTGGGAGTAGCTTTAAGGTGCTTTCCAAAGAGCTTCCCCAGTGTTGGCATCTTACGAGTCTGTCTGTGATGCTGCAGTGCTTGGAAGGATTTGGGGAGGGGAGAGGGATCTGGGAAGCTACAGAGCAATAGGCCTGACATTTGTTGCAGGCAACTGAGTAGAAACTGCAGTACACCCTAAACTTAGTGGATGTATGGATAGAGGTGGTATTTTATGAACGTGTCAAAGTGTCTTCTGTAAGGGAAGGTCAGCCACTATCAAGCATGGGGACAAGGGGGAACTCTGTCGTAAAATGAGGAACACCTGAATTTGGCAAAGTCACTCAGTGAAGTACCTGGCATCAGAGGGAGTATTCCCAAATGAATGAGTAAACTAATTGGTCAAAAGAATGTGTGCTCAAAGGAGCATTCAAAACTGAAGTCTTGGGGTGGGAGGAGGCAGCTCCATGGAACTCTCAGCTCAATTCTCCTGGCAGCCACACAAGCAGCATGAGTACTAGGAATTCTTAGCAAAGTAAAAGAAAACAGCAACCAGTTTCCTGCCACAGTATAAAAATTAATGTGTAGTGATAATGGGGTTTCAATTTCCTCCTTCTTTTGTTGTGGGGTTGTTGTTTTGGTTTTTTTTTTTTTCCTGATGGATTTCTAATTAGATGGGTTCTTTACAACATAGCTGCATGACCCTTATATCAGCCACTGTACTAACTGGATTTATGACATCACATCCTCCTTGATCTGCTTGTTTTCTCCATGCATTCAGACTCCATATCTCACCATTTCTTTTCAGAAAAAGAAAGTGCCAGACTACAGTTACAGGCACTCTCAGAAACACTAACTTCCTGAAAATCTTGTCCAGCTGAGCAGTAACTTCTGTGGTGTCTTGAGGGACGGGTGAGTAGTATTTGCAGTTTCTGTACAATGGCAATTTCGGAGGAAGGCAGAGACCCAGATTTCCTGTGTTTTGTGAAATAAATGGACTGGCGAATGAAGCATCTGAAACGTTCTCTTATCCACTACAAAAGCAAGAAATATGTTTTTAAATCTATAGAAGTGTGATTGTAGTAGAAGTTCCTCGTCTTATTAAAAATACGCATGTAATCTTGAAGCTTGCTCACTGTTAGATTAGAGCCATGCTTTCCTGCCTTCTCTACAGCAAAGGCTCTGCCCCCAAACTCTGTACCTGCTTTCTCTTCTTCAGCTTACCAAGCTACAAATTATTTACAGGATTCAACCAGCTAGGGTATGGAGGGAGGGGGGAAATAGGTATGTAAAAAGCAGAGTGGGTTTTTTTTGCTGCCTGTAACACTCACAGCGCATGCTAGTATTTCTCTGCAGGAGAAGAAAATGTTGTGGGAATCCAGAGCTGATGATTTGCATATCAGCTGCCTCTCCTCTGCCCTGGCAAGCCCCAGTGTCTAGTGGAAGGCAGTGGCTCCATGCTGTTGCATTTAGAAACCTCCAGTGTGGCTGACGGTTCATTTTCTGGCTAAGCGGAGAGTTTAGTATGTGACCCAGTTGCAATAATGAGGGGTGAATGACAAATGGGATCGTGCCAGCTGGGTTCTCTGTCCTGTTCCCTGTCTGTTTGGTTACAGCTGTTTGATTAAATCTTTTGCTGTTCTGGAGCATGGGGATTTGGATTTGGAGATGGAGCCGAGGGAGGCAGGAGAAATCATTTAGGTTGGAGACCTTTAAGATCATTGGGTCGAACCATAAACCTAACGCTGCTAAGTCCGCACTAAACCATGTCCCCAAGTGCCACGTCTACACGTCTTTCAGATACCTCCAGGGACGGTGACTCACCCACTTCCCTGGGAAGCCTGTTCCAGTGCTTGACAATCCTTTCAGTGAAGAAATTTTTCCTAATATCCAGTATCCTAAACCTCTTCTGGCACGCCTTGAGGCCCTTTCCTCTCGTCCTAAATGCCACAATCCTCCTCACTGCCTTTTCACATGCTTTTGTGCATTGACCTTTGCTGCCCCAGTGGTGGGCCCAGGAGGCACTAGTTCTGCTTTCCTTCACTTTAAGGAGAAGCCAGGGCAGAAATGCTAATGCTGAGAATGTAGCTAGAATGACTTCTCTTTTTGTTGCTGCCTTGTTAATAATATCTTCCTCTCCATCCTTCCCTTTTGCAGGAGGAAGAGAGGAAGTAAGGGTAGGGTGGAGGGGGGGGATTGCAAATGCATTACTAGGTGATTCCACTGGCAGAGCTGAGCAGGTCAGAGCCAGCATGGCCTTTGCATGCTCTGTTGGTGATGACTGGGTTAGCCAGCACCATCTACCAGAGAAGGTAGAAGTGGGGACTGGGCAGGGGAGCAGGGTTGGGAAGCAGCCTTGAAACTCTCTTCACCTAGTCAGTTCTTGTCCTTATCATCTACATTTGCCTCCAAAGCTGCCTTGTATCAATTCCCCTCCCACTATCCATCCATTCTGCTATCCTACAGTGCCATGAAAAATGAGTCAGGCTTTCTGTAGGGGTGGGTGATTGATTTCAAAAGGCAACAACTGCTGGTTCAACAGCCTTGGAGACTGAGGCCCCTTGATAAAAACTGGTGTCAGCACTGGGGTTTTCGTATTGTGTTCGGTTTTGGGGAAGGACAGGCTGTGTATCAGGGGAAAAAACTCTCATGATGAGAGAAAACTCTCATCAGGGTAGCAGTTCCACATCATGTCCGTTGACAGAGGTCCAGGAATATTCATAAGGAGCATTCCTATTTCCTCATCCTAGGGTTTTTTGCATGTATATCTCATGTCCAGAATGACCTGAAATTCTAGAAGATGACATATAAGGTCTCTAATGCTGTTCCCAGCGTTTGTTGTGCACCACCATGAAGGTAGGCCATTTGAGTGCAAGTGCTGTACATCCTTCCAAGCAGCAAGCACAACTTACATGGACAGAACTGAGGATCAGTCTTGGTTTGTGATACACAGAAAAGAGAGACTTGTCCTTATTTTGTGTTTGAAAGAGAGGGATCCAAAGATGGGCAGTAGTTCTGATGTGGGATCTGAAGGCCCTGTGACAATATGGAGAAGCCAGGAGACTACTTCAGTAATTACCAAAAGGCATAATTTAAGCATGCTGTCCTGTGGTGTAGGAAGGAGAGTTCTGCTCTGCCATAGCACTGTTCCAAGGCTCGTGGTCTGCTGCCTTGCCTGTCAGTGTCTTCTCTCCTCTCCTTCAGGTCATGACAGTTGTCTTGTGAGAGCAGGCTCTGAAAGGAGCAAGAATGCCCAGGATGTCCAACTGCCTGCCAAAACGGACCACGGTGCTGCTGAACTGCAGGCTTGGGGCTCTCTTTATTCTCACCATTTCATTTGTGTTCTTTGCCTTTGTCATGTTCTACTGGAGAGCTGGGGAGGATGCTGAGGGCCAGTTCTACAGCTTGCCTACACAAAACAGGTGTGAACAGTTTTTGCCTTGCCTTCCTCATCCCACTGCCGATGGACCCGCTCCTTCCCCAGGGGATGTGTTTTTTGTGGAGACCTCGGAGAGAATTAGCCCAAGTTACCTGTTCACATGCTCTGTGGAGTCAGCAGCCCGGGCGCACCCTGGGACAAGGGTCGTGGTGCTCATGAAAGGTTTGGCAAACGGTGACGTCTCGTTACCCAACCACTGGGGCTTCTCGTTGCTGAGCTTCTTTCCCAATGTGGAAATCCGTCCACTGGACCTGTCAGAGCTTTTTTCTGGAACACCTCTGGCAAACTGGTACTTGCAGGCTCAGCAGCGCTGGGAGCCTTATTTCTTACCCGTCCTGTCTGATGCCTGCAGAATTGTCATCATGTGGAAATTCGGTGGCATCTACCTGGACACAGACTTCATTGTGCTTAAGAACTTAAAGAACCTCACCAATGCCCTCGGTATCCAGTCCCATGATATGCTGAATGGGGCCTTTCTGTCCTTTAAACCCAAACATGAGTTCATGGAGCTTTGCATGAAGGACTTTGTGGAGAACTACAACAGCTGGACCTGGGGGCACCAGGGTCCACTGCTCTTAACGCGTGTCTTCAAGAAGTGGTGCTCCATCACTAATATCCAGAATGCTATGAGCTGCAAAGGAGTGAGTGCTCTTTCCTCAGAAGCCTTTTATCCTATTCACTGGGGTGAATGGCAGAAGTTATTTGAAGCAATCAGCTCCTTGGACCTTCAAAAGCTCCTTAAGAACACCTACGCGGTGCACGTATGGAACAAACTGAGCCATGGGACAAGGCTACAGGTCACATCCCAGGCTTTGCTGGCTCAGCTGCATTCTCAGTTCTGCCCTGCTACATATGTGAAGATGAAGAGGGACTCTGAAGAGGAGTCAAGGCCTGCAACGTGACCTGTAAGCCCTTGGCTGCAGGGAATTTCCCCAACATGGAGGAAACTGAATGCCTTTCACCTTCCACAGAATTAAGTTTCTAGCCCACGGAGCAGGTATTCTGTGTGACAGCTCAGTGATTTTGTACTATTTCCAATATCTGCCTCAGATCCTACGTGCTTCAAATATACACTAGAACCTAAATTTGGACCCTTGTTGATGCTGCAGGGAAGGGTGAACTTGTTCATTGGTGCCTATCTCTATTGCTGTTCTCTCAACTGCTCCTGCTGTGTATTAGGCCTGAAAAGCCTCTCACGTAGTTTCAACAGCTGTAGGAACACTTGGCTTGCTCACTGTAACATTTCTAAGTATGTAAATCAATGCCAGCCAGTGCTATAGGACACGGTTTACTGGAGCTTAGGACCAAATTCCTCACGTGGTAAAGATTCTTACAGCTGGTGAAATATGTGGAGAATATATGAAAATTGCTTTAAGAAATAGAAAATATATTAAGTCCCCACTCAGCTCAGTGTAATGTTTTTCTTGCTTTCCAAAGGTACTTTCATTTCAAATGATCTTTTCTACTGTTTTACATTCCACAGCAATGGGTCAACTTTTCTGGTCCTCTTCAGGAGAACAAATAGACAAATGCACTTCTTTTACCAGTTTGAGTAAAGATCCTTGCTCTGTTGAAGAAATTCTTGTGAGATGTGCACATCTCAACAGGCCTTGTCACACTCTCAGAGGGTCTCAGCATCTGCCTGCTTCTGCATTGCTGCAAGAAGCATTACATTCCTTTCACTGGAGTACTGAACACATTGTGGAAGAACAGGGACAGAAGTGTCCATATCAGCAGAGGGACCAGTGACCAGGTCCAGAGCTAGGACCAGTGTCCCCAGTGACATCTTATTATGGTCACTGGGGATCGAGTCAACGGATTATGCAGGGTCACTCCTCTCATCTTCATGCAGATGACACAAGCAGATAAGTGACTGCAGGCATCACTGCCTGTAATGGGAACACAGGTGCCTATACCATGGACTTTTAAAGTTAGGTGCAATAAAGCCAGCTGTGGCTTCTAGCAAACCTGGGCAGAGCCAATGCAGTGATAGACCAGTTGTTGATCTGATGACAATTCTCACAGCTGAATGTGTCTCCTGTGTGTCCAGGGCACTGTAATTGTAAAAATGCATTTGAAATCAGAAGAGGAGAAAAAAAAAAATGTACTGTGGTTCTGCTTGTGCCAAATCAAAGTTCCTGCCTGGGAGACAAAGTATAAGCAATGTGTGGTTATTGCTCTTTCAGATATCCAATAGCTAACAAATAAGAGAAATACGTGTATCAATTTTAATATGGCCTTTTCCTAAATGCCATTATTTGCTGGGCTATCATGCGTGAAGGAAGGCTGATGTAAGTTTGATCCAGCTTTTAATGTAAGCAGCAGTATGTTTCAAGATTTGTCAGATACTGAGCAATGGCACACTATTGATTAAATACTCCATTGCAGACCAAAAGTGAGTCATCAATTTTTACTTGAAAGAAGTTGTATAACACAATGCATCAACTTACTCTGCTGTCTGGTTGTCTGTCCCCACCTGCCCGCCCCCCCCAAGAAAAAAAGGAAATGTTGCCCGATCACTCTAACTACTAGTCTTCGTTACTGTTGCTGAGAAGTACTGGATATGCTGTTCCAATATGGTGCCCATGGCGGCAAACAACCAGCTGTAGCTCATATTCCTCTATCTTCACTGTTTCACGTGTGACTCTTTCTTCAGCCAGCAGGAAAATGATGGTGTAAAGGGCAAATTCAAATTCCGGGCTGACACCAATAAAGGTGCTTCCAATTGGCTTGATTGAGCCCTTCCAGCTGAACTGGATGCTCAAAACTTGGTCATCCTTGTCAGGCTGAAAGCATAAACAAAACAACAGAATAATCTCCAACACAGCTGTGACCAGACAGATACAATTTCCGACACCAGATTTTTGAGAGCATTGCAAGATTCAGTCATCCTTGCTGTGCCAGGGTGCTATAGCTGGAGCACAGCCTTTTCCCTGTCCTCTGGAGCGTACATGATCATTCATCTCAATTAAGCTTCAGCAGTGTTGTGATTCTGTAAACACCAGCATTACCTTTTTAAATAGTTTTTGCAAAAAAGAAAGCTGGACTTGAGGGCATACCAGTATTTCTTCTGCTTATGTACACTTGGACAAATTAGGTTCAAAACATTTGAGTCTGTGATTGCATTGTTGTGCCTTGATTCATTACCACAACTTTTATCTCTGGATCCATTTGTCTTATTTGCAAAGGCACCCTGCTTGTTCTTACCCTGGTTTTGTTCTTCCGAGCGACATATCCCTTGTAGTCAATTTGGTTGAGCTTTTCCTGAAGGTAAAATTGCACCCAGTTGTGCAAACCTAAGATCTGTTTTCCACGCCTCGTTTCTCCAACAAAAACATGTTCAAAACCGCAAGAATCAGGTCTGTAATAAACCAAAAAAACAATATATAGGTCTTTTATGTGTTTAAATAGTTCAAATTGGCAGAGGTAACAGGCAAGAAGATGCACAAGCTCGTTTAGGTTGATTTGTGAGCAGTTTTTTTATTTGTTTGGATTTGTTGGGTTTTCTTTCTTACTTTGCACAAAACTTTGATGAAATTTAGCCATGAAGTCTAAATTTGTGTTGGATAATAAAGGTTGCTACTAAATGCCACAGAGGCATCACTGCTGCTTATCCACATTTTAGCAAGGCTCGTGACACTGTCTGCCATAACAGACTCATAGACAAATAGATGAGGTACAGATTACAAAAGCGGATGATGTGGTGGGCCGAAAAGTCAATGAATGTCTGCAGTTGAAGGCCTGTGATTAGGGACACGAAGTGCAGCCAGAGGCAATTCAGCAGTGGTGTACCCCAAGGGTCAGCACTGTTAGTACCTGATCAGTAAGTCTTTAAACATGATCTGTGTGGGACCGATGAACACCTGATTTAGGCCATGTTCTGAGGCTGTCTTCCAGTTCTGTAACAGATGGCAGTTGGGCTTATATTTACCTGAGTCAGAATAGTGAAGAGATTATCAAGAATCATATCCATCAAACGTACCTGTCTCCTTCTTTCCTGGCGTAGAGCTCGAACCAGATGTCATACAGTTGATGTTTGAAATCGGCAAGGTTTGGCTTTGCTAAGTTTTTTTTAAGCAGATATTCATGAGCTAGCTGAAGGATAGAAAAGCAAGACATATACAGAGTTTACTTTTTAATTCAGTGTTTTCACTGACTAAAAAAGATCTGTGTTACTCACTTTCATGACTTCTGTCGCTAAGATTGCATCAAGAAAACAATTATTTTCAACTATTTCTTCTGGAGTCACTACTTCTGCTACACCGGTTGATGTCTCATAGTTGTCCAATAAGGAAATAAAGGCTGCAGAAAAAGAGAAACTTTCAGCATCCTTGTTCTGATGAACAGGCCATATGCCTAATCATACCTGACATTAGAGACTGCCATCATAAAAAGATGCCATATAATATGCCTTGACAGCCCTTACAGAAAGACATTCCTTTATACGTCAAATTTCATTCTCAGGTACACCGTTGGGTGTAGGTCTAGAGGTGACTCAAGGCCAGACCACTGCTGTAGTTCTTTTTAAGATAAACAGCTCGCTGCTAAGCTTCCTTATGGAACTAAGTGCTGAAGCAATGGTGACCTTCTACCAAAACAAATCATATCTGACCACCAGAATTACAGATGTAGGGTTATGAACATAGGCTTCTGCTATGCTGGCAGAAAGCTTTGTGGGCATTACTTTGGTAGAGCAACAATACAGCATAAACCTACATGAGATGGCTTGAGCTTAAGCGTGTGGCCACCGAGTGGATGGGTTCATTTTCTCCTTCGCACCCCTTTTGCCACATGCTCCCTCGCGTCATTTCGTCTATACGTGCTCTGACACTCAGTGGACTCTGAGGGCTGATTCAGCACACCAAGTTCGTAGAAAAATACTTGAGGTCAAAAACCTAAGTCATCTTCTGCCAGGTTAGTGAGCTGAAGGGACTCAGCATAGGGTTCAATGAGTACCAGGGCTGCCCTCACTAGACACACCATTGTGTAGCTCAGAGATGAAGGGGGAGAACAGAGAAAAATGGTGCTGCCCGTTATGCTGGCTGTTTGATCAGCTTAATGTAACGCTCTGGGGAAAAGAAAAATCAGGGAAGGAAACACACATTCATAGACATGCTTGAAGTATAACCCTCAACAGAAATGCAAGAAGTAGCTGTGGACCTAGTGCTATCTGAGAGGGCTAGAAGCTGTAAGCAAAGCAGGAAAGATCACTTTGGCGTCTTTTTTAACACATTTCACTTCGTAGTGGAAGAACCACAGAGAAATTCATATTTTGGCTAAGGCACAAAAGGACGTTCGTCCTGAGGCTGAGGCAACAGTAACCTCCATGGAAATGTTGTAGAAACTACCTTCAAATGACATGCGGCCCGATGATCATCATCACCATCCAAATTATATATCATATTGTATTTTAGACAAACACATAAAAACCAACATGGATTCTTCATGTCATTTCCACAATTAATAAAATAAAAGGTCTCACTTGCAAAAGTTTTTATGCTCTTCAGGCGTTCTTCATTTACATTGTGAAACAGATGTCTGGCTGCGCTGTCCTGGACAGCACTGTCACCTTGCTGTGCGGCACCTGCTTTTCCCTAGGAGAAACACCAGAGTAAAACAATGAAAGAACTAAGATGCCCTTAGAGGAGACAGTGCCTGCCTTTATAATAAAAACAAAACCCATAATGCTATCAGGATTCTTTGTTAGGAATGGTCTTCCTATGAAACAAGAGAACACATTACAGAAGAACTGACAGCATAAAGAAAAAAGACATAATCTTTGATACCGTAGGAGCATGAAACTTCTCTGTTGACTCATTTTCAGAGACGATTGTGAGGACCCATGTAAGAGCTCAGTTCTGCTCAGTAACCGGCTGTGCTACTATGCTATATATACAACACATGATAAAGAGAAGTAATGTAGAGCCACGGCTCCTTCCTGACACAAGTAAATAAAAAGGAGATCTGGGCACTTCCTTCTCTGTTCATTTGTAACCCACAGACCCACTGCGTATAGTTTATGAGGCCACGCAGTGCAGCAGAGGGGTTGTTTCTCTCCTGAGTCCCTACTCCCCAAGCTAGCCCATCTAATTGTCCTCTCTTCTCTGATAATGCTTAAGCAGTCCAACTCCTGATTAGGATCCCTCAGGCTTAGCCATTGTTTTCTGACTTCTGACCACAGCCCCAGCCACCACCCCAGTGCCAGGGAGATGCCGAGATAGTTCTGTGCAGCTCCACCAGCTTTAGACTGGTGCATCCTGGTGCTCTGAAGTTTTCAAAGACTTCTGGTTGCCCACATTTAAGGGTATTTTAATCAATGTTACCAATAAGCACATCCAAAATGGAAAGGAGGCTTTCCTGACAATTTTCAAATTTCTGTTCCAAATAGGGCATTCTCAAAGCAGGGAAAAGACGAGTAGCAGTTGGTTAACATGGGCAAGGTGTAACTAAAGCCTTGTTCTGAGAAATGGAGAAACCACACAGGAGAAGTTTTCCCCACGCACATTCTGGCCTGTGGTAGGTACCCGTTTTTTCAAGTTTATCATCAACAGAAAACGAAATCTTATAATATGAAGCAATGTTGAAATAAAGTGTCTGAGCACTTGTGCGAGTATAGAATTGGATACTGAATATTCAGTGGCCTGCTGCAATTTGTGGCCAAAACACATGGTCATGTTTGCACTACGCTGAGCTGGCAAGGACTGAAATGGCTGCTCATCAAATCTGATATCCACTCCTCCCTCACAGTTCCCTGGGACTGGTAGCAACAATCCTTAAATGCTCCTCACCCACACCTCTGTGCTACTCCATACTCCCTAGGAGAGACTCAGGAATTCCTCAAATTCCTTCTTTATTGCCCCAAGAATAACTTAGGACCTATCTCCCCTTCTCCCTTGCTGCAAGTCACCCAGACCATACACACATGCAGTCATACACACAGAGAAACAGCCAGGGCGGAGAGGACCTCAGGACATATCTAGTCCTGCTCAAAGTATGGTCAACACTGAATTCAGACCGTATTGCTCAGGGTGTCATCTTGTTGGGTCTTGAAAACCTCCAGATATGGAGATTTCACAGTTTCTCTGGGCATCCTGTTCTGATTGCATTTGTCCTTTGTCCTGAATTTCATGGTGCCCCTTCCTTAGCCTATTCCTCCAGCCTGCCTATGTCCAGGTGAAGAGAAGCCCTGCGCTTGAGCATACCAACTTCATCACCAGTTTGCTGTGATCTGCATCTGGAAAGGCTGCACTCCATCTCCTCCAGGCCACTAATAAAAATATTAAATGTTATAGGACCCAAGACAGACACCTGAGAGACTCCACTTGTAACCAACATCCAGGTAGTGTGGACCATTAATGTGTTCTCTGTACTGTTCCCTCTCCTAAGTGGTTCTTTGTCATTAGGCAGTCATTCCTATGCCATTAGTGGAAATAACGAAGTATAGGCAACTCGGCAAAAGGCAGTTTTGCAGACACCTTTTCCTACAGTACCATACTGCCCTTAATCCTCATGTGACTTAGCAACTGGTTACCTGCAAATCAATTGTGTAGTCCTTCCCAGGCATAAGGCGGTTAACATCCATGTCCCACATCTCATTGAAAAGTTTAGAAAGTTCATGATTGAAGGGCTTCCTGTCAAGAAATCCAGAGAAATATACACAAGTTAAAAGACACATGCTATTAAGTCTGCAAGTCACTTCTAGAGTCTTCTAATGTCACTCTATGTTCCGGATACTAGCTTGTCATCAGGAGAGCTTTCTCTTCTCCCCACACCTTTCTGTCAATGCTGCTCTAAAACTCATAGAGCTTATGGTTCGTGTTCATATTTAAAAATGCAGGTAACCTGTAAGGAAACTTGAGCCTTCCCTAGGGTTATTTTAGAGTATATTTTAACAAAGTTCTTGTTAATAAGCCTTCCTGTGGTTTTCCATGCACTGAAATAAAAATGAAGAATGTGGAGTTTCATTCAGGAGGATTCTATGTACAAACCAGAGGCAAGCAGGAGATTGTTATCAGCATGCAGCAACACTACACAACAAACCAAAAAGCAAAGGATTCTCTTTATGATGTTTTTCTAGCAGCAATCTTATGTACACTCTTCCTATCTTTTTTCCTGCAAGACTCTACACTAGATATGCCTTCCTTCGCCCATACGCGTGGTTATCTTAGCATACAGTTAGTGTGACGGAGGGTGACTAAAAGACTCTAAACACAGGGTCTGCATACAATTAAAATTCTCTCACGCACTGATCTCTGATGCACATACAAACCTACCCAGGCTCGTCCTTTCTTCATTTTAATGGAATTTTGTCCTACATAACAGTGTATAGTTTTCAGAAGTCTATCCATCCACCTATCAACAAGATTTAGGAATGGTTGTTGTTGTGATGAACCACCCAAAGGTAGCTCCAGTTTCAAAGGCATTATGTCCCCACTAACATGTAAGAGCAAGACAACAGAGTGGAGAAGAAAGAGAAGTGGATTAATCTTTAAATGACTGACAGTTGAATTAATCAGTTACAAACCAGCACATGCATCGAAGCCGAGAGAAGAACCGTTTGATAATTTTCAATTTCTCCTCCAAAGCAGATGCTCTCAAGAAAAGAAAAAAAAAGTACAGAAATTTGTCAACAATGGGCATTTTTTTCAAATAGCCATTTGGGCACTTGCTGTGAATTTAACAACTGGTTCTCCTAAACTGAACCAAGGCACCTTCAAGCCCAACTCTGAACCTCCTAACTGATTACTGTTATGTCTTCTCCTTTTATCCTGGCCAGGACGGAGATACTTGCTGCATCCTCCTGCCAGTGGCAAATTCCCTGCTCTCTTTAACAGAAAGAGCAAATGTATATTGTGGCAAGGTCACAGTCTTCTGATGTTGGCAGCCTTGATGTGAGGCAGCTTGAGAGGAAGAGCTGAAAGAGCCAGGCGGGCGCCTGCCCCCTTGTTGGCAGGGAGGGAATAGAGGTCAAAGCAGAAAAGAGGGCATTAATCAAATGGTGGGAGAACAGTCTAGAAGCAGCAGAGCAGGATTTTATGTGCCTTCTCCTGTCCTGGTCTGCACTTTATGACTGGCTCAGAAACTGCTGGTCTAAGCTCCACGTTGAAAGAAATAGAAAGTAGCAAAGTGTGCTTGGAGAACTGAAACTTTTTCTCCAGAATTGTGTGTGTAACTGTGGGATGGAACTTGTACGGCCTAAGATTAAAACCGTGAAAAGGATAAGCAAGCTGCGCTTAACTCCTCAAGAGCATGTTGCCCAGAGGAATTCATATCCCTGAGTTAAGAGCCAAAAGCAGTCAGTTTACATTAATGCACCTGAGGATAAGCTGCAGCAGCTGAGGAGCATAAAGAATATTTTTGATATTCATATTATACACAGTGTTATTTAGAGTGCGGAGAGTAACCTCCTACAGAAGGGCAGGGCAGACAACCGTAACTACTTTGGCTGCCACACCTCAGTCTGCCTGCGACTGGGAGTTTGAGTCATCGTGTGCCTCAACTATGCAGGAGGCACAGACAGTCTGTTTTCACTTGAGCTCTGTGATACTTTGAGATTGTTGTTAATGATATATCTTCCAGATCACTTGAATTTTGAACTGGGCTTCAATAGGTGTCAATACCTGAAAGAAGGAAAAGGACTAAAATTTCTAGTATATGGGAGCCAAAAGATATGTTTTTTTGCTAGGGTTAAACATGAACATGAAGGAAGATTTTTTTTGCTTGGAACAAGTACTTGCATGGATCTTACAGTGGAGCAGAAGGAGGCTGTCACAGAGGAGGTATATTCAGCCCTTGCCCAAACCCCAGGCTCTGCTTATACAGAAGTGTGGCTTGTGGCATCACAGTATCAATACTGGCTGTGCAGCCCAAATGAGGCACCTGCCCAACTTCACAGGGTGTTAGCCTCATGGCATATCACAGAAGCCACCAACAGCAGCATATTTTATTTATTTTCAGCAGTACCTCCACATTCTTTCCAGAGCCTTAAGAAGAGCAATTCCTTCTTGAAAGAGTTTACAAACCAACACTAAACAGAAAATTTTTCATCTCACCAGCTCAGCTGAAGTCCAAAGAACAAGATCAGCAAGTTCACAGAACAGTACTGGAGATGGTTTTCAAACTTTAAGTCTACATTCATGTTACCTTGGACTGACCTAATTTTATTGGCTCACTTTTCTCCTGGGTTTCCAGACCCTTCTGCTGTCTACTGCTGTGCACCAGCTTATCTCATCTGTTTGAGTAATCCCATATTATGTCTAATACAGTTTTTACTTTCGAAGTAACTACCAGTGGCAGATAGGAGTCTGCTGTCTGTTGAACATCCAAGGTATGTGAAATATTAGGGGGTGATGTCAGGGGTTTTTTTCAATATTTTGTTCCATATATATAGTGTTTCATAATAATATATTTTAGTATGTATGTATTTTGGTAAAAGTCATCTATACAGGAAATCTGTCAGCCCTTCAATACCTACTGTGTGTTCTTGGTCTGCTCTTGGCAGATTTGTCCTGTTTTTATAAAGTGCTGTAGGATTTTTCCTCTTCTGGAAATGTTATGGAATATCGCATGAGCTCATGGAGGCAAGCTCAAGGGGTCTACTCAGGAGAGGGTTACAGCAAGAGCGTACCTACAGATTTCAATCCTCATATTTATTTAATAAATATGCTTCTACTAAATGTATTCCTGCATTCAGAAAATGTGCCCCAAAACTCTGAAGCCACTTAATTTTATAAAACAAAAGCGTTTTCTCTCCTTTTTCTCTGCTGGGTGCTACCAGAATATTATCATGGACTTTTCCTCGCCTTTTTGTTTTCCCTTTAGTTTCCAAATAGAGCAGAGCACCTTTAGACATTGTAACTGAAGTTTAGAATAAAGAAAAATACATCCCTGCGAAAGCAAAGAACTTGTTTAGCAACTTACATAGTCATCTTGTAAAACTCTTTCTGGACAGTATTTCTTTAAAAAAGGTCCATAAACTTGGCTTACACATATGAGGTGAGACAACTTCAAAGGGAAGTCGTCCAACACTTTAATGCAAATCCATGACACACAGCAGTTAGGTAAGGTTTTCCTGAAAAAGAGTAGGATAAATTACTTCCATGCAAGACGTCTGGCCAGTTGGATTTTGTCCAGTCGGAGTCTTGCTTGGATGTGCTTATGTGCGCAAAGCGCCACCCCAGTAACAAGAACACTTAGTCTGCACTTGTAAGAGCTAAGAAAACTTTTGGGGGCGGCTCTTTGCAATAGTAACTCTAATGCACCTGCAGTGTGGCTAGAGCAAAAGAACCTAGCGTCTCCACTTTATTACAGCTTGCAAGTGAAACATTCACATGATGTCCCTGTTTTTTCCAAGTGATTTTCTTATATGAAACTTTCATTCTATCCAAAACAATGCCCCAAGAAAAGTTCTTTTATTGCTAGAAATGACTCAAGACATGAAGAGGATTAAAGGATCAGTGGCGAAACCTGTGAGCAAGTCAACAGTGTCAAAGCAAGAAAAACATGTATTGCAAAAGCGTCACGTGAAGCCCTGCAAAGAAGGTTTGATTGAACATCTTCTCCAAAGTAAATTTACCTTTAGAGATCCTTTGAACAACATCCAGTTTTGAAAAGCCTTTAATCTTGGCATAGAGAAGAAAAGTATTTGGAAAACCTCCTGAGCAGTGTCGTGGTTTAACCCCAGTCAGCAACTAAGCATCAAGCAGCAGCTTGCTCACTCCTCCCACCCCCACCCCAGTGGGATGGGGAAAATAGAAAACAAGTAAAACTTGTGGCTTGAGATAAGAACAGTTTGATAGTTGAAATTAAAAAGAAATAATAATGAAGAAGAAAATAAAGATAACAAAAAGAAAAAGAAATAAACCCCAAGAAAGGCAAGTGATTCACAATGCAATTGCTCACCACCTGCTGACTGATGCCCATCCAAATCCCCAAGCAGCGATTGGCCCCTCCTGGCCAACTCCCCCCCAGTTTATACACTGGGCATGACTTCATATGGTATGGAATATTCCTTTGGCCAGTTTGGGTCAGCTGTCCTGGCCATGCTCTCTCCCAGCTTCTTATGCCCCTCCATCCTTCTCACTGACAGGGCATGAGAAGCTGAAAAGTCCTTGACTTAGAATAACCACTCCTCAGCAACAACTAAAATATCAGTGTATTATCAATATCATTCTCATACTAAATCCAAAATACAGCACTGTACCAGCTACTAGGAAGAAAATTATCCCAGCCAAAAGCAGGACAGCAACTATTTACAAGAAGTTTCCAATAATTTAAAAAATCAGTTCAAATGTTGAGAAATACATGTATCAGCTTATAAGGTTAATAGAAGATACAAGCGATTGTGTCAATTTTTTAATGTCTTTTACTTGAGTCCAATTATGTTTTTCTTAGTTTAAAGCTAGTATTTGAAATACCAAAGGATAAGTAGGATAGGTTTTGTAGGTGGAAAGGAAAATACATTGTCAAGGGCAAACATAAGAGTGGGCAGTTACTCGGCCAATACTCTGTCAAGGTCCTGGGCAGGGAGACGATGTTTGGAGAACTGATTCTATGTTATCAGCTATGTTTAAGCAAAATCTGATCTTAGCACCACCTTATTTTAGCTAAAACAGCTTATGATTCAGTTGTCTCACCAACTTGTTATGCTTGAAGAGAGTTAATAGAATAGAAAGAAGAAGCAAGGTTATTGAAGTGCTACATTTCACCTAACTCCCTTTTACATGTCTCCCAGACGAATATAACCCATCCGTGCTGCCCTTCACGTTAGAGAAGAGCTAGTATGATTTTTTCTCTTACCCATTAGCCATGCCAGGAAGAAGTTTTTCTCTTAGCAAGTATACTGAGCAGGGACAAGGCAACCTGAAGCTCAGAAATCCTCCTGGTCGTCAAATGTGTGGAGCTGTCTCCCTCTTATAGTCCACTTGCCCGCTGAGGACTGTCACTCAGACTGACAGGCAGTGCAGGAAGGCAAGGGAGAGGCAGGAGGTGCCAAACCCCACAAGAAGACGTGGAGCGTAAGAACCGTACCATGTCTCACACCTCCCTCTGCGCAGGCACATTCAGACCAGGAAGTCAGAGTCACCTCTCCCAGGCTCCTGCTTCGCCTTATCTCCGCAGGCCATCAGTATGGCAGGGAATACAGAAGGTGATGGCGCAGAGACGCATGGCGACTGCCACCTGGGTTTTCAGATACAGTCCTGAGATCCTTGTATGAACTTCAGAAATGAGTCATGGCATTGCATCAGGAGTTCTTTTGGATTATTTCTTAACAGAGTTTAGATCTTTACATGAATTTTGGGTGCAGAAATAAGAATTTCAATTCTGAAAGCCTTGACTGAGATGGATGGGCCATTCTATTCTTGCTGTTCTATATACAGTTATCATTTGAAAATAGAATGGAAGATGATAATAAATCAGAGATCAAAAAAATTACAGGTGGGGAAGAAAAAAACTCCAATGTATGCTTCTCTGCTTACAGCTGAAATTGCTAGTTGGGACCTTGTAACTATTAGGAGGCATTATAATCAGGAAATGTTTGACAAAGGCAGCACTTTGCATGCACCACTGGAAGCATGTGGTGGCAGGTGCTGGTAAGTGGACAGCAGGATGACCAGGGGCCAGCAATGTGCCCTCGTGGCCAAGAAGGCCAATGGCATCCTGGGGTGTATCAGAAGGGGTGTGGTCAGTAGGTCGAGAGAGGTTCTCGTTCCCCT